GGCGCCAGTGGGTGATGGGGAGGAGGAGGAGGAGGAGGGGAGGATCAGAGGAGGACAATGATAGTCGTCATGCTCACGTGGAAATGAACTGGTCAGCGTACTGAATAAATGAATGGAGAGGGGTGGCAAACGACAAAGAGTGAACGAAGGTTATTCATTGATGGCGAGTCGATTGTTTGATTGAGCGGGATAGGGGGGGGGGGGGGGGTGGAGGGGGGATGATCATTGCTGCTGATGCGGGCTTGAACATTGTGATTGAAGGGAGGGGGACAGCCTGGCCGTGATGAGCATGGTGATCAGGCCTCAGGCCGTGATGAGCATGGTGATCAGGCTGTGATGGGCATGGTGATCAAGCTGAGCTCGATTGAGTCGGCCTCAGCGGCTGCTTGGCACAGGCATCGATACGCATGAAATCCATTCACTACTTTGACGCGATATCCTTACCGGACCTGATCTTGATTGCGGCTCTCTGATCTCAAACCAAACGCGCTTGTGCGACTCGGAGCAGCCGAGGCAGGCAGCGGCAGGTTGGGATCCATTCGGACCGAGGCGGGAGGGAGGAGGGTGCGACGGCAGAGGCTCGAATGCGAGGCAGACGACCGACAGCCAACATTCATCGCAGTTTACGTAGAGGTGTACATGGCTGAGGGAGGAGGTGAGAATGTTGAGGGCAGAGTCGGGTTCTCGCTCTCGTTAGCAGGGCTTGCTCGGCAAGGAGGTGGTCATGGAAGCAGCGGGAAAAGCGGCGAGAGTTTGAAGCGACGAGGCAAGAGGAAGCGGGACACGAGTGGCGGTGAAGGAAGGCAATCAGTGTCATCAGAGGCGCTGGGTGGTGGCAAGCTGGGGAATACTGCATCTGGATCGGTATTTGATACGGCCATGGCTGGGATGGGCGGCCGGTTGAAGGTTGATGATGAGGCCATCACCGCTGCCAGGGACGACTCGGTGCCCATTCCGCTGACGGCTTCGGCCTGGCACGGCGGCGCAAAGATGGCATCGATGGCATCGACGGCGACGGAGGAACATTTCGTGGGTGAGGGAGGTGAGGATCTGCCGTTGCCACCAGCCAAGAAGGCCAGAACGGGCGTGGCTGAGGTTGTGGAGGTAGCCGCAGCTGCCGAGACCGAGGCTGAGACCGAGACTGAGGCCGAGGCCGAGGATAAGAGCCGAGCGAGTGAAGAGCCGGCGCAAGTCTTTGGCCTCATCATCCGCAAGCCAAAGGAAGCACAAGCGGCGGCGGAGGCGGCGGCACAGAGGAAGGAGCTCCCGCTGCTGCTGCGCAATGTGATTCCCTCGGTGGCGGCAGCCGGGCGCGGTGGTGAGGGCGAGAAGATCAAGGCTGACCTTGCGGTCCGCCCTGACGAGATGAAGCCAGAGGACTACGAGGGCACTGTGCCCATTGAGGCCTTTGGCAAGAAGCTGCTGCTGGGCATGGGCTGGGCCGACGGCGAGCCCATCGGCGTGACAAACAAGGGCCTCAAGGAGCCGATCGAGTTTATCCCGCGTTTCGGCCGCCGCGGCCTCGGAGCTGCCGCGGGCGGCAAGCCAGGCAAGCCGCAGCGCAGGTACATCAAGCCTGGCGAGAAGCGCACATCCTCGCGCGATGTCGTCCTTCCGCGCGATGAAAATGGCCGCGTCCGGCACTACAAGGCCATCTCGGAGACCCTGGTCTCGGTCGACGAGGTGACCAAGATCGAGGTTGGGACCGCGGTGACGGTGGTGGCGGGCAAGCACAAAGACGTGACCGGCATTGTAGTCGCTTTTTCTGGTGACGGCGCCACTGCACGGGTCAAGACTCAGAGCGCAGTCCTCAGCGTGCCGATGAGCGGGCTTGTCAATTCAGCGTCGCTCGCGCTCGCGCCGCCGGCGCAGCCGGCCACCGCCGACGTCAAGGCCGATGTCAAGTCCAAGTCCAAGGCCAAGTTCAAGTCCAAGGCCAAGAGCGCAACGTCGCCATCGTGGCTTGTCCCCAACATTCGCGTCCGCATCATTTCCAAGCGCTCGTTTCACAACGGCAAGTACTACAACTGCAAGGCGACCATCCTCGACGTTGTCGCCCACAAAGTTGCTTCGCTCGTGCTCGACACCGGCAAGGTGCTCGACAACGTGCGCCAGTCTGTGCTCGAGACCATTGTGCCACGCTCTGTCGGTTCACCGTTGCGCATTGTCCGTGGACAGCATGCCGGCGCCAAGGCGCGGCTGCTAGAGCGGTCATCGAGCAAATCGCGGGTTGTCGTCCAGCTCGACGATGACGAGACGGTGGCGCTTGATCTCAAGTTTGACGACGTTGCCGCCATCGCCGAGCACCGCTGATGAGAACAAGAGTAAACAAAGTGCGAGGCCGGCTTGCTGCCAGCCAGCCGTCACTCGTACTCGTACTCGTACACATCATCAAGATCAACAGTGCTCGCTCCAAGCGTCGTCGTGGCGTCGTCAGACATGCACCCAGAATACGACTCGCCATCGCTGCGGTCGGACGAACGGATCGGCGCATAGTCCGAGGCGGTGGTGAGGACCCGGATGAGAGAAAAGGTAAGCACCAGAGCAACGGGAAAACCCGCAGCAGCGGCAAAGGCGGCACCGAGGCTGACCTGGGCAGACACGGTCGCCTGCCGCGACTGGGGCGACACCACTGTGCCGAGGAGAATGCTGGGGAGCGCCGAGAACACTACCGCCGTCGCAAACAGCCCACACGAGGTTTTGGCCCAGTTGCCTCCCTTCCTGCCAGTCTCCATGGAGCGGAGCCGGCGTGAGGAACATGTCCGCTTGCAGGTCAGCGCAAGCAGGCCCAAGAGGAGAATGCCGGTGACCAGGAGCGCGACGCCCGAGATCGGACCGACCGCCGCCATGCGCGACCAAAAGCCGGCGTAGTCGGGATGGCGATCGCGAGCGGCAGCAAGCTCGAGCCGCTCGCCGTTGATGTCGGCATGCCAAAGACCGACCAGAACAGTGTCCGGAATGGGGTGCCCCTCCGAGCGCTTGGGCGACGAGTCGTCGCTACCAGTGTTGGCCGTCAACCACGTCGTCGACGCCAGGAGCATGATGAGACCAAAGACGGCGGCGACAAAGACAAGAAGCTGCAGGACAAGACCCTCCCGCGGGGAAAAGAGCTTACGCCCACGGCGCTGTGCATCGGAGCGCGACATGCAGCCATCGCGGCGGCAGCACGACCACCATCCCTCGCGAGTGCAGCAACACTTGTAGCCGATCCAGAGCGAGACAGCGGCCGCAACGAGGCAGAAGAGGACCAAGACCAAGACACCACCAGCCGAAGCCTCCGCAGTGCACTCGGGGCTCCCGCTCGCAGGCTTGTAGCTCTTAAAGGCGCCATCGTACAAGCACTCGTTGTCGGTGCAGCATCCGAGCACACGCCCGGCGCCATCCTTTGGCTGACAGCCCGAACACTCGCTGTCATTTGGATCATAGCCAGCCACACGAGTGGCAGACATACCAGCCATGACCAGCACCACCATCATCGTCATCGCCATCCATCTTGTCGTCCATGATGTCATTGTTGCCAGCGACGGATTCGGCCAACGTTCCGCCTGCCTGCCCTTGCCGCTTTGCTCCCTTCTTCCACCTCTACCGCCTGGATTAGCGCTTGGAGAACCGTAAGAACTTGGTGGCGGGCAGCTGGTTCTTCCAGCTATGTGAGGTGTGAGTTGTGAGCTTGTGTGACAAGTGGGTGAATGAGGAGCGGAAGAGGGAAAAGGGGAGGGGGGGGGGCTGGAGCAGGGGGGGCGGGGTGTCGGGAAGGTGATCGTCTTGAACGACTGAATACGGGACGAGAACGATCGACTCTCATGCATGGCTAACGATTGTTTCTCGAAAAGGCAATGAGCCCAACGATTATTTCTCAATGGAATGATTCCCAACCGCCCCGACGATTATTTCTCAATGGAATGATCACCCCCCCGCCCCCCGCCCCAACGATTATATCTCAATACAATGATCACCCCCCCCCACCCCTCCCACCGCCCCAACGATAAATTCTCAATGAAATCATCGATACACGCTCAATAGAAAGCAGGACAGCCACCACCACACACCCCAGCCAGCCAAACCCCCCCCCCCCCACCTGCCACCACCCCACTCCACCACATCACACTCATGTGGCGGCGGAGTGTGAGCACGAGCACGACATGTGTGGCAGACATGGTGCGGGTGACAGGAGCTGCAGCAGGCGCTGGTGGTGGGTGGCTGGCTGGCTGGAGGTCGGCGGCCGGCGGCGCGACATGGGCGAGGGACAGGGGTTCTGGCTATGTTTTCTTTTCTCTGCATGCAGGCTCGAATTTTGTGACGGCTGGTCGGGCCTTTCATGCGCAGGCATGCCGGGTATATGACCGAGCTGGTAGAGATGGCGATGGTGCTGCTGCGCTGGGCACGGAGCTCATTCCGCTCGTCAACAAGCTGCAAAAGGTGACCGCTACCCTCGAGCAGGAGCTCGATCTGCCACAGCTGGTGGTTATCGGTGGCCAGTCGTCGGGCAAGAGCTCTGTGCTGGAGGCCTTGGTGGGCCGGAACTTTCTTCCGCGCGGAACAGGCATCGTTACCCGCCGTCCGCTTGTTCTGCAGCTGAACAAGGCGCCCGAGGGCGAGAACGCCGAGTACGGCGAGTTTGCCCATCAGCCCGGCAAGGTCTATGCCGACTTTGACGCCATTCGCAACGAGATCGAGGCCGAGACCGACCGGGTGACCGGCCGCAACAAGGGCATCTCGGCCAAGCCCATCATTCTGCAGATCACCTCGCCGCATGTTCTCCCGCTGACCCTTGTCGACACGCCAGGCATTGCCCGGGTACCTGTCGGCGACCAGCCTCGCGACATCGAGGCTCAGATTCGCAACCTTGTTCTCGAGTACATCACCAAGCCCGGGGCTATCATTCTCGCCGTCCAGCCAGCAAACCAAGACCTGGCGACGTCGGACGCGCTCAAGCTCGCCGCCGACGTCGACCCGGCCGGCCACCGGACCATCGGTGTCCTCACCAAGCTCGACTTGATGGACGCCGGAACCGACGCGCTCGACATCATGCTCGGCAAGGTTGTTCCGCTCAAGCTCGGCATTGTCGGCGTCGTCAACCGCTCGCAGGCCGACGTGGTGGCGTCCAAGTCGGTGGCCGCTGGCCTCTCGGCCGAGGCCGCGTTCTTTGCCAACCACCCCAAGTACGGCCCTATTGCCGAGTCGTGCGGGACGGCATACCTCGCCGCCAAGTGCTCGACCCTGCTGGGCAAGCACATCCGCCGGACCATTCCCAAACTCAAGTCGCAAATCACGGGCCTCCACGCTGAGACCCTCGCCGAGCTCGAGTCGTTTGGCACCGAGCCGTACTCGGGCCGCGAGGGCAAGCGCGTCTTTGTCCTTCAGATCCTCAACAAGATCTCCAAGACCTTTGCCGACCAGGTCGATGGCCACACTCACTCTGCGACGCGCGAAAATACGCTCACCACCGACGAGCTCAACTCGGGCGCTCGCATTCGCTACGTCTTCCAGAACGTCCTTGCTGATGCGCTCGACGACATCCAGGTCGAGCTCTCCACGGCTGACATCCGAACCGCCATCAAGAACGCCGCCGGCACCGCGCCGGCCCTCTTTGTTCCCGAGGCCGCCTTTGAGCTGCTCATCCGCACCCAGATCGCGCGCCTCGGCGAGCCGCTCCTTCACGCCGCTGACCTCGTCCACAACGAGCTCCTCCGCGCCCTCTCCTCGCTCGACCTCCCGGAGCTCGAGCGGTTCTCGCACCTCAAGGACTCGTCGTCTGAGGTTGCCGCGGACCTACTGCGCTCGTGCATGCGTCCGACCCGCAAGATGCTCTCCAACCTCGTCGACTGTGAGCTCTCGTACATCAACACCAACCATCCCGACTTTACCCGCGGGCCCGAGCTCCTGGCCAACTCGGACTCAACCGTCGACGACTACGAGCCTGCGCCGCGCGCCGCGCCGTCGCGCCCAGTGCACTCGAGCTCGTCAGAGTCGAGCGGCCCAGCCTCGTTCCTCTGGTCGCTCTTCTCTTCGGGCTCGGACGAGAGCTCGCGCGCCACTGACGCGCGTGGCACCGCCTCGCGCTCGCCGCCCGAGGTTCTCCGCGTCGACGGCAAGCTCTCGCGGATGGAGACCGTCCAGGTCAACCTCATTCTTCGGCTGCTCGACTCGTACCTTGGCATTGTCAAGAAGAACCTCCACGACATGGGCTCCAAGGCCATCATGCACTTTCTCGTTCAGAATGCCAAGGACAACATGCAGCGCGCCCTTGTCTCCAACCTCTACAAGGACGAGCTGACCGAGCGTCTTCTCCGCGAGGACCAGCGCGTGGTCAAGCACCGTGCTGCACTCGAGCACAAGCTCGAAGTCCTCGAGGACGCCAACGACCTGCTGCAAATGGCCGAAATCCACCACCTTGACCTTGACGACGAGTGGGACCCGCTCACCGATGCTGGCTCCCACCACACCTCTGGCTCCCACCGCTCCCGCCGCCGCAGCCTCGGCAGCTCGGCCATGGGCGCCCGCGGCCGCCGCGATGACGACGACGAGTACCGGCCGCGGTCCCGTTGGTAGTAAAAGTGGTGCAGACGTGCAGGAGGACGTCTGGTGATGATGTTTTGTTTAGTGCATGGCACCCGCAGCGCGGGCGGCCATGCGGCGCTCACCAGCTGCGACGCGGTCGGCGTTGACGTTCTCGCGGGTGTACTCGGGAGCGTGCATGGGCACGAGGCGGAGGAGGAAGCCGATGGGCAGCGAGATGAGACCGACAAGAAGCGAGCCGAACCAGGCGCCGACGCCGAGGCCGGTGACCTGGGCCCAATCGCCGGCGGCCTCAACGATGAAGACCTGCATGAGAGCAGTGGCGACCCAAATGGCGCCAAAGAGCCAGTTGGCAAAGATGTTCTCAAAGCAGTTGATTTCCTGGTGGATGCGGCGGGTGTTGAACTCGTTGAAGAGCTGGCACCAGACAAAGGCGTTGAAGATAATGGTAAAGTGCTCGGTCTCGTACTGCTCGACGTTGAAGATGTTGTGGCCGTCGTAGAGGAGGACGAGGGTGACAATGAGCTGGAAGATCGACTGGCCAATGATGTGCATCCACATGACGAGCGAAACGAGGCGGTCCTCGTTACGGGTCGGCATGCGGTCGAGGAGGCCCTCGGACGGCTCCTCGGTGGCGAGGGCAAGCGCGGCGAGGGTGTCCATGATGAGATTGACCCAGAGGAGCTGAACGGCCTTGAGTGGCGACTCGCCCTTGTCGTTGGAGACGGCGCCGATAAAGGCGAGCGCGACGGCGACGACGTTGACGGTCAGCTGGAACTGGAGGAACTTGCGGATCGAGTCGTAGACGTTGCGGCCCCAGAGGACGGCGGCGACAATCGAGGTGAACTTGTCGTCCATGAGGATGATGTCTGCAGCCTCCTTGGCGACCTCGGTTCCGGTCACGCCCATGCCAAAGCCGACATCGGCCTTGGAGAGGGCGGGCCCGTCGTTGGTGCCATCGCCGGTGACGGCGACGACCTCGTCAAAGTCGACCTGAAGCCGCTCCACCAGCCGCTGCTTGTCGAGCGGCGCCGAGCGGGCGAGGACGGTCATGGCCGGGAGGATGTGCTTGAGCTCGGCGTTGGTGCACTTGGCAAAGTCGGGGCCCTCGAGCGCGGTGTCGAGGTCCGGGTCGTAGATGTTGCACTCGACGGCGATGGCGCGAGCGGTGTCAATGTTGTCGCCGGTGACCATGCGGACGACAATGCCGGCCTTCTGGCAGTCGAGGACCGACTGCGGGACCTCGGGGCGGATGACGTCGTGGATGCCGGTGATGCCGATGACAACCGACTCGGAGATGTCCTCCTCGTCCCAGTTGTCAGCCGGCGGCATGGCGAGATCCTTGTACGCAAGGCAGATGGTGCGGAGCGCGTGCTGCGCCATGTTGCCGATCTTAGCCTCGAGCTCGCTGCGGATCTCGGGCGTGAGCCGGCGGACATTGCCCGACGCGTCGAGGTACGACACGCACTCAGCGAGGACCATCTCGGACGCGCCCTTGACGTAGTGGCGGTACATGCCGTTCGAGAGACGGACAACGTACGACGAGCGCTTGCGCTTGGACGAGAACGGGAAGGCCTTGACCTTGGAGCCCGACGAGTCGGCCTCCTCGCGCATGGCGCGGTAGTCCGGCAGCGAGCCGCGGACCTGCCGCGTGAACTTGAGCAGCGCCTGCTCGGTCGTCGAGCCGGTCCACTCGAGCTTGCTTCCGCCGCCCTCCTTGGACTCGACGCTAACCTCGGCGGCCGACGAGTTGATGTTGATGCCCTGGAGGATCTTGAAGAGCAGAGTGCCCTCCACGCCCTCAGCCTTGGGCCCGACCGACCAGTCCTTGACCTTCTTGGCCAGGAGCGCGTCGTCAGCAGAGTCGATGCCGGCCAGCGACTCGCCGGCAATCCAACCGTCGACCACCGTCATCTCGTTGCGGGTGAGCGTTCCGGTCTTGTCGGAGCAGATGACCGTGGCACGGCCCATGGTCTCGCATGCCGCAAGCTTACGGACCAGGTTCTGGTCCTTAAGCATCTTGACCATCGAGTAGGCCAACGCAATGGTGACGGCGAGCGGGAGACCCTCGGGCACCGCCACCACCACAATCGTGATCGACGTGATGATGTACTCGGTCATGAGCTCGAGCGCCTCGTTGTCAATCTTCTTGCCCTTGTCAACCTGCATGATGAAGAACTTGACCGAGAGCACAATGAAGAGAATGACGGCAGCAAACATGCCAAGCTTGCCAATGTCCTTGGCCAGCTTGTCGAGCTGCTTCTGCAGCGGCGTGTCCTCGGGCGGCACGCGGAGCGCCATGACGGCACGTCCGTTGTGCGAGTCCATGCCGACGCACGTGACCAGCATCACCGCGTCGCCCTCCTTGATCTTCGAACCCGAGATGAAGAACGGGTTGTGCTTGTTCTTGTGGCAGAGATCCGGCTCGCCGGTCTGGCCAGACTCGTCCGCAGCACACGAGTTGCCGCTCACGTACAGCCCGTCAACAGGCACAATGTCGCCTGTGGAGAGCTGGAGCAGGTCACCCACCACAACGTCAAAGACCGAGATCGACTGCGCAGACTCGGAGCCCGACCGCAGGACCTTGACCGACTTGTCGTCCTTCTGCTTGTTGAGTTTCTGGAACTGCTGCTCCTTCTTGTAGTCGTTGAGCGCCGTGACCATGACCACCAGCGTGACGGCCACAAGAATGGCCGCACCCTCGATCCAACCGGCGGCACCGTCGTGCGACGCCACCGTCACGCCCAGAATGAGCGACACAATCGCCGCCACAATGAGCAGAATGAGGATAAAGTCCTGCAGCGTCTCATAGCAGAGCTCGAGGAACGACTTGGTTGGCGCCTCCGGCAGCCGGTTGGCTCCGAACCGCTCGCGCCGCGACGGAATGGTCGAGACGTCAATACCACGATGCAGGTCCGTTCCGAGTGCGTTGGCCACACCCTAAGGAAAAAAAAAAAGAAACAAGCACCATTCGCAGCAGCAATCACAGTAGTCATAGTGGCCATATCCATGGTGGTGGTAGGAGTTGCATGCGTGAGTAGGAGGAGCGAGCAGGGGGGGGGGGTGGCGCGGGATAGCCTGAGACCAAAAAAAAAATGGTCCCAACGGGCGCCATTCTGCAGCCCACAATCGATGGCTCTAAGTGTGACAAGAGGCCAGGTAGGGAGGGGGGGGGGGGAAGGGGGAGGCAGCTGCGCTGCATGGAAGAAGGATTAGATGGTGGGGTAGTAGGATATGTGTGGGTGGGGACAATGGTAAAGTGGGGAGGGGGGGGGGAGGGGGCTGGAGGAGGAGGTAGAAGCCACGGGCAGCGTGGGTGTAGGGGACGCCCAGCCCCGTTCCCCTTCTCCGTACTGCAATGCAAGCAAGCAAGGGCGGCAGGTCACACGAAAGCACCAAAAACTGAAAACTGAAATCATTCGGCCAACGATAAAATGATGGAGAAAGAATTGGTTGGTCGGTGGTTGGTAGCAGCGGCAGTGGGAGGCGGCCGCGGGGGGGGAAGGGGGAGGGGGACGTACGAGGAGCTTGCCCATCTTGCGGTAGAGCTTGGGGTTTTGCGGGTAGAGCTCGTACAGCTCGTCACGGTTGTACTCGAGACGCTCTGTGGGCTCGCCGCCCATGCCAGAGGACGAGGAATCGTCATTGGCAGCAGCCTTGACCTGGACGAGGCGGGCCCTGATCGAGTTGGACCGCTTTTCGCCAGCGGGTAACGCCCGAGACAGCAACGTCGGCAGGCGCAGCCGTGTTGGACTTGGTCTTGCTGCCGCCACGAGCCGCACGTGGCTGACTACGAGCTCCGCCGTCCTGGAGAGTACCTCCTTCCTCGTCCGAATAGAACGAATCGTAGTACGAGTACGACCCCGACCCGTCATCAAGAGGCGAACGTGCCGCCATGATGAGCTTCCGAGTGCAGTGTGCTCACGACTCGTCGACTTTGCCTTTGCCCTATTTTGCCGTTTGGCGGAACGCTGACAACTGGGCGTGGAGTGGTGTGGGTAGTCAGCGGGCTTGGTGCGTGGATGGGCTGGTGCGTGGATGGGCTAGTGCGTGGATGGGCTGGTGCGTGGATGGGCTGGTGCGTGGATGGGCTGGTGCGTGGATGGGCTGGTTGGTGCAGGGTTAGGATGGCGCTGATCGGACCGGTGCAGGGATGAGCCTGGCAGTCATCGGCGTGGTGCAGTGATGAGTCTGGCAGTCATCGGCATGGTGCAGTCATCGGCGTTGTGCAGTGATCTGCCTGGCTATATAATCCCTGGCTGTTATCGGCGTAGACGGCGACGATGCGGGTGAGAATGAGCAGGAGGAAGAGCAAGGGGAAGGGCGGCATGGATACAAGGAAGACACCACTCGTCGTCAAAGCCACTGGGGCGTGTAGCACGAGCAGAGCAGGGACAATGCTTGCCAGGATTGTGCATGAGCATGAGGTGAAGAAGCGGGAGCAGGCGCGGACCAAGGGTAAGGGCTCAGGGGGTTGGGGGGAAGGGAGGGGGGGGGGGGGGGGGGGGGGGTACGGGGGGGAACGGTACGTACGGGGTACGGTACTAACGTTGGACTTGATCTAGGTGAT